CATCCTTATCTGAGTTTGGCGGTTGAATTCCCCTTACGTGTCTTCAGAGTTAGAGTACCTTTTGCTAACCTCTGTCACCTGTGGCGTCGTCGTGACCCCGGCCTCGCTCTTAAGGGCTAGTCTACAATGCTGCGGTACGAGCGGTTCTGCTGTGCGGCTACGATACTTGGCCCATCCGCAAAAGTGATGTTCTGCGGTTAACCGTTTCGATCACTGCTGCCTGGGGGGCATTTCTGGTGTTCGATGGCAGCATCACATCATTAATGGGGAGGTCTGTTGGCGAGTCTTCAAACCTGACAAACCGATTGGCAGCATCATTTCACTGCAGAGGCTTCGTTGGCTTTAGCATGTGCTCCGCATTCCTACCCAGAGGCTACCACGACGTGCTTTATTCGCGAGCGCATGCATGCGCTGGAAACGACGACAAAGAGGCCAGCGTAAAACCTGGGTCTAATGCGTTAAATGTCGAAGATGGCTGTTGCTGAGCGTTCCTGATTCTCGGGCTGAGGACTAAAGGATCACGCATACATCTTGTTGCAAACGCTGCTGGATACGTCTAAGAACCGTACGCAACGGCGCACCTGCTGTGAGACTCTTTATCTCGTTCGTTCTCCCTTTCAATATAATGTTTTTTTCTATTATGTGTTATGACACTCAGCTGATTGCATTTGTTTATATGTATGTTTATACCCATAAACTGTTGTATAAAATTGCCGGTTATTGTTATCGGCACCGATGAGGTGATACGAAATGCGTGCATCTGCCGAACTTCGTGTTCTACTTGTGCTTTTCAAGATTGCATTATAATTGATAGTGTTGAACATTATATAAATATATATATATATATATATATATATATATATATATATATATATATATATATATTTGCCCCATGCTGAGGCTGATGTTGCATTCTTGATGCTTCTTCACCGCAGTTGGGCTAAACCAACTTACACTTAAACTAGGTCTTTTTAAGCTGGATACATTTCATTCCACTTTATTTGGTTTGTTCTGCCTACCTGAATATTCTTCTATTAACTGACCACGTTGCTTACGCTAATTGCGTTTCTATTCGGTAACTTTGCTGCGTTTTGTAGCATTTTTAACAAACTTTTGGACATTTTTTCCTTATCGCGGATTCCTTGCTAACCAACTTACTTCATGTGCTAATATGGCGAAGAGTTATGCCACTGTATCTGTATGCATTATTGGATTTGTTTTATTTCATCTTGTCATTCCAGGTTATTGGCTGTTGCTTGATATCCCCGGTGTGGCTGCGCTTGATGTGCATGTTGACAAGGTGCCTACCTGTCTATTACCTACTACCTCGTCCATACTGGCTCCAGGAAACAGTTGGTCGTTGCTGGAGGGGACGGGGTGCACGGTCCTTGTGGCCGTGTTAGGCTCGAAGAGTGGTTCCATGCACTTAGTGTGGAGCGGACTACGGTCCAGCCACCGCCTTGTGTGCGCTTGATTTCCCAAATACAGTGTGCTTATATTTGCCTGTGAAGGAGTGTGGGCCGGCTCCATTGATGAAACGTGGCTCCCATCCACCTGCTTCGCGGTCTTATTCCTTCGGGTTTACACTGGATATGGGGTGTGTGGTTGGAGTTGTGGGTGGTGCAGCGCAAGCCATCCATGGTCCCTCTGTAGGCGCAGGCGTCCTGTGGCTGGCCACAGTGACATGCAAATCCGAAACCGGATGCCGCCAACCATATATATATATATATATATATATATATATATATATATATATGGCCACAGTGCACACTGCATACATGTTGTACTGTGCAAATAGTGGATACTTCTTGCCTGCTGAAAGCGATACCTTGGCGTTGGCTACCGATCACACACTCTCCCCAACGAACTCATTGTACTTTCACAACATTTCACCCACTTGGTGATGAACTTTGAATTCACGTTGTCTACAAGCGACTGAGGACAGACCGCATGTACTGCCCTCGCGTACACATTTCCTTCCCCTCCTAGGACTGACCCAGAAAGCAAGTCTCATTCGCGCCACCGGTTTGAGACATAATTGAGCTCTGGGCTGAAGCGGCTGATATTCCGCCATCTTGTAGAACCCTTTACAGAGCAGCCCATTGCGGGATCCAGTTTCCTGTACCCCTACTACACGCCTTGGGAATTCGATTAGTATCTACATCCTCACGTAGTCATTCAGCAAATCACCCATGAAAAAGAATTTATAGGACGCCCACGACTTGGTATTCAGGGGTAGTTCTGCTGAACTTGGAAATGTTAGAGATCGCGTCGTTAATATTGGTCATAGTTACTTTGATATTCAGCGATATTTCTGCCTTTCTCATGGGTCATGAGCAATGAGTGCAAGCGGAAGCTGATACCGGGAATCGTTCGCTTACTCCACTCTCTGGCACTTTGGGCTTTCTTTCAATGTGGTGCTTCTGAGATCCGAAGGTCAAAGCAACGCCCAACTGTAGAATGACAGCCACTATATGTCGGCAACACAGGCTCAGTTTTACGGTGTCAATACGCAGAGTCATATAGATGCAAAGACGTGTTGTCCAAGCGGTAGTGGAGAGCGTGCCGTCACACATGGACCCTAGCTCTGGAGCATGTATGAGTTCATTTGAATTCCACCTCCAGATTGCGTACAACTCCTGGCGTAACCGGTCAACGGAGCGAAGCAAAGCATGCGACGCCTAGACGCCACATCTCATTATACGATTTCTACTGCACTATTCAAACTGTTCACGTTCCATCGAGGGACTTGGTACTCGCACTCAGAATCACTTCCACCCACTTGGCGATAGGTTTGCAACCGAACGGGTAATCGGAACTACATGAGGGTTAAGAAGTAATAAGGATTCCACTGCATCAATTTCCCCGATGGTGACGGTGGATCTCCAGATTCAGCTTCGAAAGGAGCCCATAGAGACAGTTAAGGGCATCAAACCAATCAAATTATCGCATGGTCCTATGGGAAACACTACAGTCCTGGTGGCAACTACAATTACCGCGGCATTACAAGCCCTGCCGATGATAATCATAGTTCAGACAATCGTCTTATCCCACCTGACACTTATCATCACACAATGGTCTATTGGAGACTAATCTTATTCCAAGGGCAAGTTTTCAGATGGCTCTATCTTGCAAGCCATCCGCCCCGGGCCCGAGTCCCCATCATCGATTTCTGGCAAATTCCCACCGCACTACTGACACTTTTTTCTATATTGCTGCTTCACCTCGTCTGTTTTTGGAAACTTCTGCTTGGACCACCAGACAAATTTGCCACTCACCCTCTGCTGTTATCTTCACCACCAAGTGGAAGAGTTACCCATGAGTTCGAGTCACTAGTTTGAGCCTGTGTAAGTGCGGACAGCCTCGCCGTATCACTGCTCGCACGCTACCCGTGGTGGCAACTTAGCGACTAACCATCACTACTGCGTTACGATATTCTGCTGTTACCTTCTTCCTCACTTTCAGGCACTCTGTCAATAGTTGGGTTGCGACCAGCACATGTACCTTAAACTATGTGGTATTTTACATCTCAAGATCTTTTTCTGATCTGAATTTTTTCACTGACACGGTACTTGGCTGTTGAAACTTCAGTACAGTCATGTGACCAATTTCTGTGCGCGTTTTGCAAATTTGTATTAACCTTTTAGTGCAACCTCAGTTGACCACGTTTTTGAATCAGCTGATGTAGTTTGTGTCGGCGGCCTCTTATCATCTTTACATGCCAGCTAGAATGTGACTTGTAGTTCTATCCAACCCACGCACACTTCTGTTACCGTGACTGAGACTTGATCGATAGGTTCCTGCAGCCGAATCAGCAGCAGGTTAATCTATGCACGATGGTTTCCTGATTTGTCATCACTGTTTTGTTCTCTGTTATCCTCCCTTAGCTCCTGTGCACACGTTTATCGTATTGCTGAGTTCGTTTTGATGAAGTTATAGGTGACTTAATTTTATCGCCTTGACTTTAACGATCTGACTCATGATGTGTGTGAATGGCATTTTAGAAGTGCGCATCACGTCCTTCCAATGTGTTATACTGGCGACTGGGACCTGTTTGGCGTGTAATGAATATTGCGATGTTGCGCACCCAACTCCGATGACTTAGTGCCGTATCACCACACGGGCACTCATCCCCTTCGTTATTAACTTATTTGATCTCATTAGGTGGATAGCGAGCCTCGAACACTCGACCATTGGGATGTTAGTTGGGACATCTGCTCTTTTGGCTGCCGGGTCACGACGGGTAACACTTGGCATAGCACTTAATGGAAATGGCAGTCCACATTGATATTGTGCGTCACAATCCATTCACAAAAACCAGCACTTCAAAATGATCCTCCAATCAGTCATTAACCGTTGTGACAAGCGTTGCTCGTCGTGACCCGGTAGCCAAAGGAGCACATGTTTCGGCTACTATTCCAATGGTCCCGGGTTCGAGGACTGCTATATCCACCTGATTAGGCCAAATGAGATTCAAACGCATCGTGGTGTTCAGTGTTTTCAGACCGGCAACACTCAATTTCCATCTGCTTCGGCTACGGTCACAGTGATCGCAGTGACCAAGGTTCACTTCAATGTGAATCGCGGTCTACATTGAGATTACGCGTCGCAATCCAATCATACAACGTGTACTTCAAACTGACCATCCCACTTTCAGGAGTGCTTATTTTCACGTTTTGGTCGCCTAACTTTCCGATTCTGAACTCATTCGATGAAGCCTCGATCTTTTAATTTATTTCAGATTGGGATAATTGGATATATAACGTACACTTTATGATTCCGTACTTATCCTGGTCAGCCAATTAGTTGGAACAGTGGGAATGTCTCGTGCTCGACAGCTGTGTCGTGATTTAACCACATTCGACTGAACATTTTCACTGTCTTCGTGAACTGTTTACCCCTTGGTCTTTTGGCTATGTCTGCAAATGTTTACGCACAAAATGGCGTCCTCTTCGCCAACAGTACCACTTATGTGCCGTTTACTTTTTCCCTTCCCTCAGGTTGCTGCGGAGAGCGGCTTGGAGATAGATACTGCGCTCAGGGGAGTCGACGTCCCCTCTGGTAGCCTCGCTACCGAGCAAAGTAAAAGCGTTGATGAGGATGCCCTGACCCAACGGTGAGTTTGTCTACTGTTTGCGCATCTACCGATAAAGTCAGTTCTTTAGATGATATACTAACTTCGTGCCTCCTCATCTCACCGTTTCTTAAACATCCCGAATTTCATGTCTTGCTTCGAATACTGTGCTTGTCAACCAACTATTACTCAGTCACTTAGATGTCTGTACGTTTGATACATATCTCATCATCGTTTACGTCATTTTTCCTGTCCAGTTTACTCATGGTTTTTACACTTGTGGGCTCACTAATGACCTAGGATGACTGCCTCTAGTTATTCAAGCCTATATTTGTTTCCGGTTGGTCTCGGTAATGTTGCGGGAATCGGTATCCTTATTAATGGCCTTCGTCCCAGTGGCGTCGCAAAAGCGCGGTTGCTTGAGGATCTCATCCCCTTCAGGGGACTGAAGGTCTTCCCAACTTCCTTCAGGAGAGTTTACGTGTCTGTAGCTTGCGCTCACATTTACGCGAGTGGTTTCTCAGCTAATTCACTAGGTTTCCTGGGAGTTACTCGGCAGAGTCAGTCGGCTCACGTTTCTTAAGTTGTCTGTGGTCGAGTAGCTCAGGTTAACAACCCACAAGTCACCTTCGCAATATATATATATATATATACCTACTCTTTCAAAACCCTCTCCGTCTGTTTAGGTGACTGGGCTGTATTTTTCGATCAACAGGATTTGCGACGCTGTTATACAGCTGCTGTTACTTCAAAGATGAAGACATGCCACTTGTTTTGATTTCGACACACAAGTTCATTATGTATCACAATTAACTTTGAAACAACCCTAGTGCTATAGACACATCTTTGCTTGTTCTCTTCTGTGACTGCGTTTTGAGACCATTTCGTCTTTGTTTTTATCTAAGAATCGGACCCAGGACATTATGTCTCATCGGTTAACACCGTTGCCGCAATGCTACGTAGCCCCTCGAGAGATTTTTGTTGCTGTGGTTGGAGATTTACCTGGATTTTAATGTAATTGGATTAGATTCCCTTTTCCTCTTATCTGTATCTGAAGTCGATGCATGGACAAAACTTGTCGCGGACTTGTGGCATTGATGGCAGTAACACTTGGACTGTTTTATAGTTTGTGATCCTAGATGCTAGCATGACGTAGTCATATCCGGTATGAACACCGAGTGAATAGTGTTGGATGTCTACTGAGGGATATTTTGTAACCCGCCATTGACGCCGTTTCGAAGTTGAACTTCGATGTCATGTGCCTTCCGAGTGTTCACTACGCACGCGTTGATTGCCGAATCCGCGTTTGACTGGGTAAGGAGGCGATCGGATTTCGTGATGAAATGTGTCACATACATCTTAACGATCGCTGGCTACACACTCGCTGATTGGTCCTTTACACACATGCACGCACGCACGCATACATCAACACTTATCTTCACTTCTCGTAACTTGTACCTGGTCAGCTTTTTGAGTAAACTGTTCCCGTCCGCGCGCTGTCTTCTTTCTGGCTAAGGGCCGATATACGTACTACTAGGAGCGAGATGTGACATTTGCCGACAGGTGAACATATCTATGGCAAATGCTCCACCAGTCTTCTGGTCTTGTTCTACCGATAAACCTTTGGATACTTGGAATCGATGGCGGAAAACCTTTATTCATTACCTGGAACTGCTTCCAATCTTGAACCCAGCAGTGTCTTTTACGGATATAAACAAAGTGAAACTTTTATGACAGTTTCTTGGGGATGAGGGCCAAAGATATTTCGACGCTCTCCGTATTGACGACATCTGTCCTACCATCGCCAGCGCTCTGGACACATTCAGTGCTCTTTGGGGTGTTCGTCAAAATGTTTTTACGGCTAGATATTACTTCTCCAAGCTCTCTCAGAAATCAGACGAAAGTGTGAACGAGTTCATTGCTCGTGTGCTGCAAGCGGTACCTGACTGTAAATACAATGAAATCGATCCAGCGAGGTTTGAAGAAACCATGCTACTCCAGTGCCTGATCTCGGGAATCTCAGACCAGAACACCCGAGAGAAGCTCCTTTCACAAGATGATTGTTCACTGACGTGGGAGACAGCGTGTTCTATCGCCAGGCAGAGGGAAAACCTTACTCAACAACTGGCAACTTTCACTCTGAAAGACTCATCAGAAGAATTGCGATTGGTGAACAGTACTCCAAAAATAAGGCGGGCATCCACTAGCCTCAATTCATTTGTGTGCTACCGTTGTGGTGAACGGCACAGTTGTCCATCTGACTGTCGACATCAAAAGACCGTATGTCGGAACTGCGGGAAGGTGGGCCACCTGGCGCGAGTGTGCAGATCGGTCAAATGGCGTTCAGCTGGGGCTTACCGGGGTCCAAAACCCATCAAAAGTGTGGGCAGGTAGGATGTCAGAGATCCTGAGTTACATTCGATATGGTTGAATACTGTTCCTAATATGCGGCTAGCGCCATACACCCTGGAGCTTTACACTGAAGGACAGAAAGTACAGATGGGAATCGATACAGGACCATCTGTAGTAATGATCGGGGAAAGTGCTGTAAAATCACCGCCACCCTTATCCTCTTGCAGTTCCGTTCTTCGTACGTACACTGGCGAACCCATACGTGTTCCTGGCAAATGCTTCGACGACAGGATACGAAAGCTTCCTGTATATGTGATTGCTGGGAATCACCCAAATTTGCTAGCAAGAGACTGCATACATACATTCCCGGATACATTGGATGTGGTGAAAACAGTCACTGAGGTCTCGGGACTTGAAGCGTTGTTAAAACAATATACCCCTATTTTTTCCGACGCTTTTGGGAACTTGGAAAGATTTTAGGCTCGGATAGAATTAAAAGAGGGTGCTGGGCCAAAATTCATCACAGCGCGCACACTACCATACTCTAGAAGGACAAAAGTCGAAGAAGAACTAAATCGCTTACAAACCTAGGGTATTATTACTGTAAAGTTTTCAGACTGGGGAACACCAATTGTGTCTGTGACCATACATGACGGCCCTGTACGGATTTGTGTAAATGACTGTTAATCAATCCTCCACGCTAGTCAGGTACCCATTACCCTGCATTGATGATTTGTACACAACACTGGCAGATGGTGAGAAATTTACCAAACTTGATCTCAGTCATGCGTACTCGCAGATAGAGCTCGACGAACCGTCGAGGAAACTTACTACGATTACCACACATATGGGACTATTCCAATATACTCGCTTGCCTTTTGGCATAAGTTCTGGTCCTGGGATCTTCCAAAGGATTATTGACGACCTAGTAAAGGACATACCTTTTGCCTGTGCCTATCTGGATGATATTCTTATTTCCGGACGCTCTGACACAGAACATCTTCGTACACTCGCTGTCGTACTCGAGCGCTTGGAAGGAAACGGATTTAGACTGAGAAAATCCAAATGTGAGTTCCTTTCTTCTTCCGTTTGTTACCTTGGATACCGGCTTGATAAACACGGGTTACATGTTCTAAATGACAAAGTGAAACCAATTTTAGAAAGTCCCGAGCCGAAGAACATTGATGAACTTCGTTCGTTCTTAGGCATGCTGTCCCATTATCGCCGATTCTTGCATAATGCATCTACGGTATTGTCTCCACTAAATGAACTGTTGCACAAAAATGTACCATGGCGTTAGGGTTCTAGTCAGTGGGTTGCCTTGAAAAGTTTAAGTAGGCTCTTACTTCACCACCAACGTTAGTACATTATGATTCCCATAAGCCACTCATCCTTCAATGTGACGCGTCTCCTTGTGGAGTCGGGGCTGTCCTGTGCCACCGCATAAACGACGGTTCTTTACGTCCCATAGCATTTGCATCGCGCACCCTACAAACTGCAGAGAAAAACTACTCACAACTTGATAAGGAAGCCTTGGCCGTAATCTTCAAAGTAAAGAAGTTTCACCAGTACTTATGGGGGAATTTCTTTGGGCTGCACATGGATGACAAACCCCTACTATCATTAATGAGAGAAACCAAGGGCATTCAACAGATGGCATCACCCAGAATGCAGCGATGGGCTGTGAGCTTGAGTACATACAGTTACAATATTGTTTACATTACGGGTGTCAGCAACCGTACTGCCGATGCGCTGAGCCGCCTGTCAGTAAGTAGAAGTACACAGGCACAGGACTTTCCGTTTGAACCGGTTAATTTAATGCAACATCTAGACACAACGCCGATACGAAGTGCAGCAATCCGCCAATGGACAGATCGAGACCCAATACTGCCAATGGTGAAACGATTTTTGATGGGGTTGGCCTTCTGAAGAAACAGCTGATTTACAGCCGTTCATGATTCGCAAGAACCAAATGAGCCTATTAGATGGCTGTATTTTTTGGGGCTCTCGGCTAGTCCCTCCCATGAAGGCGCATTCACAGATCCCCATGGAACTACAAGATGCTCATCCAGATGTGGCAAGAATGAAATCTTAACAAGAGGGTACTGTTGGTGGCCCAAGATTGACTCAGGTATCGAAAGCTTATTAAGGAATTGCGATGTTTGTAAGGTTCATCAAGGTAACAAACCACTCGGTCCAGTGCACTCTTGGCGTTGCCCCAGCAAACCGTGGCAGCGGATTCACGCTGACTACTTCGGACCGATCAATGGACAATGTTCCTTTTACTTATTGAGGCACATTCTAAGTGGATCGATATACACCTAGTTGCTCAAACGACATCGGAAACCACCACTGACGAAATGCGCTCTTCATTTGCTAAGTTTGGCATTCCAGAAAATTTATGCACAGACAACCGGTCACCCTTTATTAGCGCTGAATTCAATATATTTGTCACTTATAATGGAATCCAGCACATTAACTGGGCCATGTATCACCGATCATCAAACGGGCTAGCAAAAGTAGCCGTATAAACGGTAAAACAAGACTTCCAAGAGCAGAGAACTGGAACGTTATAAATAAAACTGGATCGCTTTCTATTCGCCTACCATTCGACACCCACTGAGACTACTGGTAAATCTCCGGCGGAATTGATGTTCGGCAGAAATCTTAGGACGAGGCTTCACTTGTTGTTCCCCAACCCGCGCTCAGGAGTAGAGGAGCGATTAAAGAACTCTGTGTCCCCAAACGAGTCAAAGACGCAAGTCACATTCGAGAAACATCAGCCAGTCGTGAGTCGTGCGCCGACACACGGATCGCGTACGCACACGAGGCAAGGACTCACCAGCCAAAGCGTAGCCTGACTCGTATTCCGCTACAGAACCAGTGGCAGTGGAGGACGAATGTACACCTACAAGTGAAACTCCACTACGGCGGTCGAGTCGTGTGCGCAAACGTTTCCAAGCTGAAGTGTGAGGGATGTCACCTACATCTTAACGACCGTTAAGTACGCGCTCACTCAGATTGGTCCTCTACACACATGCACGCATTCACCAGCACCTACGTTCACTTCTCCTAACTTGTACTTGATCACTTTTTGTGTAAACTTTTCCCATCCGCGTGCTGCCTTCTTCCTGGCTAAGGTCCGATATACGTACTACTAGGGGCGAGACATGACAAAATGGCCGTTATGGATTATTGTTCAAAATCTTAAAATGAAACGAAGGGCATCAGCAGTAGACCACGGGATCATCACCAGTTGCGCGCGGGGTACACCGATTCAAATCGATGACCATCAGATTACAGGGCAGGCGCCCCACTCCCTCGGCCACCGGCCCCAAAATTAGCTGGTAGGTGTTTTATCTTTCCTACTCGAGCTATGGCACTGGCCGTAACGCTGCATGAAGACCTCAGTTAGCTTGACACGATCTCTGAGTTCCAAGGGCCCTTACTTCCTATTAACGACCTTCCCATCCGGTCAATTCAACTCCTGTTAACATTTCTCAACCTTGTCTCATTTCTTTTCACTGTCGCCATTTTTTGCTAACAATGTGCCTTCATGAATAAAGGATAAAAGGGTTAATCATATACGCTTTATAAGTTGGATTAGGTACTTCAGAGGTCTTATAGGTTTTGCACATCCACATCCGTGTGACCACTTTCTCCGGAAACGATTACGCCTTTTTTCAAGGCAGAAGGGTTTGGTATCCGGTTTGCTTCGATGCGGCTATGGTTGCGTTACTACTAATCACAATACAAAGCCATTGTTATGGCACTAGTAGTTTAGACTTGACCGGGAAAATGCTCATCTACTCTCTCGACACAGTGTGTTCTGTGATGTCTGCTTGCCGTTTCCCCCTACTCACTTTGCTCATCCACTTGTGTTGATCTCTCTGCCCTGCTCCGCCGAACACTGCAGATACGGTTAAGACGTCGGAAAATTCGGCGGCTAGTCAACAGCTGATTTTGCGTCAACACCTTAATAGTCTGCACTTGGCAGTTTCATTGCCATCTACATTCAGCCGGTAATTGTTCTAGCATTCACCCACTTTAGTACATATGAAATGCGTCGGCATTTGTTGTCCAAGCTCACGTCGTATACCACTTGCACAGTACCAAATCCCTCCACTCTCTTTTCAATTTTAGATTGGCGGCTTTACGTGAATAGACGTGCTCCGTCCGATATCTCATCAATTCTCGGTGCGCCGTTTATCTGGCTTTCAACGCGCTCGACTTGTATTAACGTGACGAAGAGGCTTAGGCATGAATTTTTTCCTTGCGCCCTTTGAACGTGAAGATCTGTGTCTGTCAGCTAACATCCCCTCCCCACGTACTATTTCTGGAAACAGATGTCCGCTATTTCACATGAATCACTGGTCTTAATACGTTTTTATTTGTTTTTATACTTGGCAATTTGTCCTATATCAACTTCACAGATGTCTTTTCTTCTTTGAGGTTTTTTTCCCATTTGTCGGAAAATTGCACTCGCGTGTCTCCGCCGCTCAGCTTTGGCATTTTGTCCGATCAGTATGTGTATGTCCGGTCGTACATTTGTTGGTGCTCACCCACTCTGCATGTTAAATGCTATGTAGTTCCCATCGCTTTTTCACAATCAACGCGTCACTCGGTGTGTGACGCTTACCTTCCAAAATTGTTAACTACCCCACCGTATAGGATTTTAAAGTTTCCCCATGGTACCCGTTCAATGTTTTTAGATGCATAGTAATGCTTCCTCATTCGAGTATTTGCTTAAGCTCAATCGCTTACCTTGGCTAGGTCATATTCTCCGATGGCCGGCATGAAGAAACTGACCAGAAGATTTGGTCAGGCTTGTGCGTCCCACTACAGTGGTTGGAGACTGTTTCGGAACTGGCGCAGTCAGTGTCGTTCCTACCTTCGGTTTCTCACATCTGACTGTTAATATTCATACCATCACGATTGGTTTTTGCGCTCTTCTGTCCTTATTCTATCTTTTTTCTAATCAATTTACCTTCAGCCTCATTTACTGTTATTCTAGCCATGTGAGTCGTGACAACTTGGTCCATCTACTTCGGTGCCCCGATTATAGTTGTCCGACTGAGCTGAACTGAAATCGACCATTTGAAAATAACTCTATGACGCTTCACTTGTTTGTCCATCAAACATGGATCGGTTATGTTTTGGGGGTGATCTCCTTTGTTTACTCGTTGATCGCGTTCCTCGGCGTGCATTTTATTTTGTCGCTGCACGGCAAGGTCGCCAGTTTTTGATGTTTCGCAAATGTATTATTCAATTGACCGAGCGACTTGTTGGGGCTGGTTCGCCTTGTCTCAAAGGACGTGAACCTCTGGATGTGCCGAATCCGCTTTTGAAAATCTTATGTGAACTTGCACACTTAAAAAGTCCGTCATGCTTTCGTATTCGATTTCTTGCATCCAGCTGTGAATATTCTACCCTGAGTAACGTTATCCAGTTTCCTAATTCCCATTGCTTTATGTTCTGCTTGCATTATGCCTCGGATTCCTGGCCATTGTTAATTATTCTTAACCTACTGACGCAAGTCATGGCCACTGGATCCACAGCACTTAATTGCTCCGATCATATTTGTTTGACTGAACTGAACTGCCGCTTCGCTTTTGTCGGTCTAATGTTACCACACCGGATTCGCTGCGTCGCTTAGACTCTCTTTTGCTACAGGACCCGTCTTTTTAGGCACACTGGGGTCGTTTTGTTCGCGAATGTCCATCACGCGTCTCGCCTGAGCCGACTGTTACGCTCAGAAAAGCACTACTGTTTCCTGTGGGTACTTCGTACAAACTGAGCGCAACATCTGGTCGCACTCACATTAGATTAACAACGTGTTTGCCTGAGTTGAGTACAGTTACGAGCGTTGGCCCCCCAAATTCACTAATAGATGTGCATGGCAGACAAATCGCTGACCAAACAATTCGCCCGCACGCAGTATGCGCATGTATCAACCCCCCCCCCCCTCGGATTTGAGTTATCCGACCCAGTTTGACGTATCGAGCTACACGGCAGTAATTGGAAATTACTTTTAATGCTGGTAACAGGGAGACTCGTTCAGTTGTTGTGCTGCTCGTCCAAGTAGGCAACTTGATTACGAACATTTCGCCATCATTCAACTTGGTATTGTCAGTGCAGGATTGATAACAGTCATGTGGCAAGAACTGGTCGAAGGCCAACCCGATGATGGATGCCTTTAGCCGCTACTGCTTTCGGCATCTAGGCATACTGGGATATTAGGTTCACCTCGTTCTGCTATATATATAT